ACCCGCTGCTGCTATGGCCAGCTCAGCTGGTCTGGCTCTGGGGCCAACCCCCAGTGGGGACACTGGGCTCTGAACACAAGGAGGGTCAGAACCCCAAGCTGCCACACCCCCCACCAGCCTCCCACCTCCAGCAACCCAACCCCCTCCCCAGGCTACTGTACTCCTGGTGCATTCCTCAGTCCCAACACAATCCAGCCAGCACAGCTGAGGAGGGAGCCCCAGTTGGTGCCAACACCCTGGGGAGCACCAGGGCCAAGGAGAGTCCTCAGCCAAGGGCCCCACTGGCCCAGCTTTCCCACAGGACCTCTGCTGTGCTGAAGTCAATAGGCTCCAAGCTGACGGCCTGGCCACCACTGGTCCCACCTCATGTTGTGGTGAGGACCATATCAGAGGAGAAGGTAGGGGGTGGCGTGCTCAGGGCCTTAGAAAAGTCCCCACCTAAGCTCCAGTGTTCCCCCCCAGCTACCTCCAGCCCTGGCTCAGGGGTGATTGCAAAACAACGGCAGTGCAAGGAGCACAGCTCTGCCCTTATAAAGCCATTGTTTGGGAGGTGGTGTGCCGGTGCTGTGCAGAGCCCAAGGGAGCAACAGCTCCAGCACCAGCTGGGATGCCCCTGAAGACGGGCACAAACACTGCAAGACGAGGCAGGATCCAAGCCTTGACTCACACTTTCCAGGCTTCCCACTCTTGCCCATATATGAGCAGGCAGCACCGTGCAGGCCAGGCACCATGGCCCACGCCTGGCCCTGCACCCATGGGGCAGCCCCTGCGCATCCTGGGCAGGGGGAAGGAGGCAACATGTGCTATCAGCGATACTGGGGCACCTCGGGGGTGTCATCCACAGCAGGCACCACCGCTGCAGAGCACTCAGCACGGCATCCCCAGCAGCTAATGCCCTGGGTCAGGCTTGGCCAATGGGGAGGGAAGAGCCATGGTTAGAGTCAGGGGCAGTTTAGACTGGACATTAGGAACAATTCCTTCCCCAAAGGGTGCTCAGGCATTGGAACAGGCTGCCCAGGGCAGTGGTGGAGTCACCATCCCTGGAAGCGTTCACAAACCATGCAGATGAAGGCCTTAGTGACATGGTTTAGTGGTGGCCTTGGCAGCACTGGGGTAAAGGGTGGACTTTATGATCTTAAAGGTCTTTTCCAACCTGGTTGATTCTATGATAGCTCTGTTCCTACTAGTACCCTCCCCATGGCTGGAGAACCAACAGCCCCCCAGGGTGACATATGTGTCATGTTCTGTCCCATGTGTGTTCCCATCACCCCTTCCCTCCCCACATCCCATGGGTGCTATACTATACAGCTAAAGGCCAGCCAGCCACCTCCACCCCTCTCTCCTGGCCAGACTTTAGCTCTGCTGGCTGACACTGCCAGGACTTGCCCCTCACCCATGGGCAGTCCCTGGCCTCTTCCCCAGCCATGGCAATGGGTGCAGGCAGGTATGTGGAGGGGAAGGTTCTCACCATCGCTCCCAAGGGGGGTGGAAATGGGCTACGACTTTTTGGTTTTTACCAGCCCCTTCTGGACCAGGCAGCGATAGAATTCCTGAATGTATGTGTACACACACTTCCAATCCGGCTCGCGCATCCGGACCATGTCCTCCACGTCCAGCAACTGTGGACAGTCCGCGTGCTTCCTGGGGGCAGGGAGAGAGAGGGGCAAGCCAGTGACCGCAGCCCAGTCAGGGAGGGGAGGAAGAGAGAAAACAAGAGACACAGATCAATGCAGTTCCCATCCCTCCCCCGGGCAGATGCTGCTCTGCTCTCACATGCTCTGGGGGTGCACAGTGCAGAGGCAGGAGGGCTCCAGGCACTACTGTGTCAAGGCCATTCAGTGAGATATGGGGGGGCACAAGCAAGGGATGGGAAAGGCAAGTGAGTGGCGTGGAGAGATGTGAGGTCCAGAAGGAAAGACAGATGAAGAAGAAGGAGTGAGGTGTTCTGGTGCGCCAGGTGCTCGGGAAGCGGGTTCCAGAGCGGAGTGGCACTCTATATCCGCTGGGAGAATGGGGGGGCAAGGCCAGCCCTCCTGTCCAGCTCTGCTTGGAACCACGCAGCACAGCCCTGGTGCAGGAAGCTCGGGAGAAGATGCTCACAAGAGCTGGAGGAGGAGGAAGGACGAGAGGCCACCTGGCTTCCAGGCTGGAGAGATTGATGGATCTCAAGTCCACGCACCGGTTCCCCAGTTAAGACAAAAAGTCTATTA